GGGGGGGGGGGGGGGGGGGGGGGGGGGGGGGGGGGGGGGGGGGGGGCAGGCTGCGGGGTACTCAGCTGGTGAGGTCAAAAGCAGCCCAGCACGTGCACGCGCACAAGCACGACAGGGGGCTTCACTTGTGCGCGCAGACACTTGAACGCTCCTCGATCTGAGCCAGAAAAGCCTTATTAACCTGCTCGTCAACCCGAACCTTCTGGAAAAGACAGTCAAAGGGAAATGGAAAAGAGATGTCATTTCCTTCGGGTCAAGGGCACAGCCAGCGCTCTTTGAGCGGCGTGAGCGCACGGCGGCGTGTGAGGAAGCCGGCATTCAAACCCCGCTGCCGCCATAAAGGTCACTACAAAAGAAAAACATGCCCCCGCAAATGGAAACGGTTCTTGACCTTACCCTTTCCATTTCAAAGTGCGAGACCTGGCGGTCCCCACAGCATCCACGCAAATGGTTACCTTGGAGAACACAGTGATCCTTCCGTGTGTCCCGGCGGTCTGAAAGCCTGCCAGCTAGCTTCGGATTCAATCACGCCGGTTTCATCGCAAAACCTTCAACATAACCTTTCACATTGAATAACAAATAAATATGGGTTTCAATGGACTTTTTAGCCAAATAAATCATTGCTGACTCAATTACTTTTCAGCAGTCGCTCGGTGCGAACTTGGTTTGTTCTACCTAACAAAATGGAATGCAAAATCTAACTTTGTGGTTTCAGGCCAGAGTCAATGCCATCAGTTTATGTTACATTATTCACCATCAGGCTGATTGTAGTCAATAAGCTGAGCTGACATCGGTGTTAGGCAGATAGATATACGTCGGCTTCCCTTCTGAAAGCCTTTTGTTCGACGCCCACTAATGTAAGTAATTATTCCTACTGACAATGAGAGCAACTGCTGCCTTCCCTGGTCCAGAGCTACTGAACTGACAAAGAGGATGCTAGTTCGCTGATCCGGGTTCACACTGTTTCTTTAATTAAGTTTTCTAAAAAAGACAAAAGACAAAGAAATTGAGGATTTTGGAGGGGAAAAAAAGGGAATAAAAAAGGATGATCTCTTTAAAAGTTCCCAGCCCAAAAGTGTGATCATATCTAAGAGGTCAGAGAGAGGGAAAGAGCACAGGGTCACAGTCTGGGACTCAAATCCAGATCGGACGCCACTCTGTATGGCCGGTGCCCGCTCAGCCAGTTAGCCTGTCTGACATCTCATCTGGAAGCATTTATCATCATCAATGAACTATTCATCCTTAGAACTTACTATTCCATTTGAATTTTCATCTATTCCTTCATTTATCTTTCTTTGTTGCCTCTGAAATCAATTTCTACATCAATTTATGAAGACACAAAAATTTCTGTTTTTTATTTTCGATATGTTTGTAAGATTTTGGGGTTTTGCATATATTCAGCTCCTCCTCATGAAAAAAAAAAGAGATCCAACTCAATTACTGTTGGGAGCTTAGGATCTGCCAGGCTTATCTTCTGGAAAAAAAACATTTTAGCTCATTTCATACTTCTTTGGTCTACATTTCTGGTGGCGCTAATCAACTCTGTGGACTATTTTTCAATCAATTGACAAGCCTGCAAAGCAGTTCTGAAGTTCTCTTAAAATATGTAAATGACTATTATGATTCCTCTTATCGTCTGTTCCACAGAAAATACTTTATCCATTATTTTCTAAACAATCATTTATGAATGAATACTAATATCCCTGAAACTAGATATTCTAAACTGTGAATCCACGCATTGAGTACGTCAAATGCTACGAAGCGGTGACTCTAATTAATCGTTGCTGTAGCTTGCACGACTAGCTGCCTCTTCAAAAGCATGTAAGTGGAATAGATTGGCCCTGTTCTGAATCAGACGCGTGTGTGCGCATCAAAGTGTTGGCAATGTTTGACGTCTGAATGAACAATTGCCTGCATGTGCGCTGCGGGCTGAGGTGGTGCCAGGTGAGGTGGCAGTCTGCATGCACGCTCAGCGACGCAAAGCCACACACAGAGGCCCGGCTGCCGGCGGCTTGGTACCAGAATAGCTGCCAAAGCCGCACCAGAGACGTGTCCAGCCATCCAACATCAAAAGCCCTGGCCACCCACCTGCACTACTAAACAGGGCAAGACCCGCCCTCGTAAACACCACCGGGAAGGACACGACCAACCGGAGTGCAACAAGATGCCAGCCAACCCGACACAACAAAACATTTTTTTTTTTTTCAAATCACTACATAAAAGCAAGGCCGTGTGTCTGCCAGCCGCGCAGTCTGCTCGCCCTTGATCTGAATGAAAGGCGACGCAGGTGGCAGAGCAGAGTGGCAAGTCGCCGAAGTCCTGCTTCTGGATATTCGATAAGGAGTGACTTCGGAGAGTTTTGTGTATGTTCGATTTGACTGGGATGGAGTGAAAGGCACTCGGCTAGGGGCCAGCCGTTACATGGGTCTGGCTGGTTAATTGTGTTCACGGCTGCAGAGAAAGGAGGAGAGCAGGTGAGAGCTGTGCCTCTCGGGTTGTAAACGGCCAAGGAGGGCGGTGGACAACCGCCACCATAGCAACTGCAGATGAGTCTCTCACTTCACTGTCCCTGAGATCAAATATATGCCAGAGCCCTGAAAGTCTGGCGGTCTGAGGAGTGGGTAAAAATAAATGTTCAAACCTTCTTTGTAAAACTTTGACATCGATGGAATTGATCAGGAGAGCAAGCTTTGATCGGCTCAACGCAACTAAAAACAGCCACTAAAACAGTCACTAGGAGCACGATGCTTAGAAGTGGCTGCTGAGAGGTGAGGGTATCCCTTACTTTTGGCAGAGCTGGTTGAAGAGGGTTTTGGGATTGATGGGGCCTTTCCCCGATTCCTTCATGCTCTGCAGGAAGCTGAACATGGCAGAGGTCAGAGGCTCTGGACCGGGCAGCGTGACCGTCAGGGGACTCTGAAACATGATTCGTGCAGGAGGATTAGCTACAGATGCACATCTGTGGGATCGACGAGGTACAGGAGCAGGAGATAGCTTGTACTGTGCGCAAAGGAGGTACTAAAAAACGTTCAAAGCCAACAGTTACTGTTCATTATTTGTAAGAAATGTTGTCTGTAAACAGCCAAAAATGGATCTTAAACATAATGTAGCTCTTACAGGATACAGCCTAAGTCAATTTATCAATTTCTATGAAAAAAATTCATTTTTTAAAAGGAGCATAATCTAAAAAAAAAAGCAACAACTCACCAGATTTCCCTCGACAGTTGGGCTTATCTTCAGCTTATAGCCTTTTTCCTTTACTTCATGGATGAGGTCAATGAGCATGTGAGTCTGGGACAGGTTCTGTTTGGCAACAAGATATTTCATGGCCACTTCATTGACTTAATCTGTGTATATAATCTAGATATTGATTGGTTAGGCCCTGTTCGACAAGCTGAGCATCACACACAGATGTTTAGATTCATAGATACTCAAACCACTATAACGTCTACGAAAGAAAATGCAGGAAAAGCTATGATTTTAAAAGGCACAATGCTAAACCAGCTCTTAAACATGGCCTCGTTTGTCCATTTTAGTAGGCAAGGCAAGGCAAAATTCATTTGTGTAGCACACTTTGTGCACGAGACAATTAAAAGATTTAGGAACTTGTGGCAAGCTCATTATTCGGCAAGGTTTTCAAAATAATGAATAAACAGTGAATTTCAGAAATAGAGAAGATCCTTGGCGAGGAGTTGGCCCGGAGCAACATGTTTGAGAGGCATCTTTCCTTTCCCTTTCAAGAGCTATTTGTTTTGTCACATCCTGGTGATAAAGACTGTTGCTATGGAAAACACACAATGGAGCCAGCATTGTGAAAGCAGACATAGTTCATCCTCTGACAATTATGTGTTTTCGCCCAAAAGATTGCAATTTTCAAGGAGACAATACAAACAGACGGGGGGAGCGCAGGGGAGAAGCACGTAAAGCGCGCTCGCTCGCATTTCAATCAGCGCAGGAGACCCTGAGGGTGATTAACAAAATGGCAGGAAAAAACAGCCTCATTGTTGAGGAGGCATGTCAGTTTGTAGTCACCATGACATGACCACGGAAAGGCTGAGCAGGCTCTGTGGCACGGTTGTGTTGTCAGCGAGCTGTGCACCACCACCGAGAGCCACTCGTGTTAATGTGTGTGAGCGTGTGTGAGTGTGTCCGAGCCGCCGCCCGCCGCGCTTTTGATAAGACCTGTGAGCACCCGGTGGTCCGCTTTACTGGAGGCCAAACGCGTGAGAGGAGGCACTCCATGAGCGCGTCTACATTCTGTGGAAATCCTTGCCATTCATTAGGATAAAATTAGGGCCAGTAACTTGTAAGCAGGTTGTTTTTTTTAAGTGAGAAATCTACTCTCTGGTGTGATCGCACCTCAGATTTATGACAGAGTTGTTATGCCTCGAGTAGGAGATGCTCAGAACTTAACGATAAAGAAAAACCGCATGCCACAAATGTTGGTAGTTTGTTGGGGGGGCCTTATCTCTAAATAATACACGTCACACTGCAGTGTTAAGGGATACCTAACATTTGTTGGTATTTCAGGAGAAATATCTGTACTGACCTGCATGACAGCATTAAAAAAGCACGTGTTTCCGAGGTTAGTTATTCCCTTGACCGGGACCAAAGTGCTGTGGACGCCTGGACTTTTTCCTCTGGGTGGGCCGGCATAATCTGATGGTTCCTCTCGTAGTTTTAAGGTCTTGGGCGATGATGCTAAAACACACATAGACAAAAAAAACATAAAGGATGCATACATGTATAAGGAGGCGCAATACTAAACCAACGGATTGAGGCCATGTTATAGGTTTATGATGTCCGTTTTTAGGCCCTGAAAAGTAATGGAGGCTGACTTTAGGTGACATTTTACACAAAAAAAAAAGAAAAAAAGTCCCAAGTCAAGCTAGAAGCAGATTTCTGAGGTGGTGGCTGCTTTGAGGACTAGACTGGAAATCGTCCTTGAATCTGGACAAAGGGGGAAAAAAAAAAAAATCTAATTTCAGCTGTGGCGGTGAGCGACAACTTCAAATAAATAAAAGAGGAGAAAAAAGACGACTGAGCCTTGAAAGGAGACTGGGGCAGGGAGAAGGGTACTGGGAAGGCAGCTGGATGGAGAGCTGGGTCATTTGGGGAAGCAGATGACAGCTGTTGAAGTTTCGGCTGGTTAGTGAGGGAGGAGTGGGGGCCGGGGTGGGAGAGATGGCTCTCCGGAGCCAGCTGTTCCCCCCCCCCGATCGCCAGTGAAAACTAACCTTCAAACAGGCACTAAGACGCAGATGGCGGGAGTCTAGCGGGGGCGCACTGTGGGGCAGGGACGGGCGTGGGTGCTGCCGTAGTGGGAGCTGATGGCGTGCCAGCAGCTAACAAGAAACTTACCACCACTGTGGCCCAACAACAATAATGCTGCCTGTGGTGGTGATCACCAACGTGCTGCATGAGAAAACTGACAATCTACATTGGTTTTATCACCACGAGGTGACCTGAATCGAAATATAAGATGAAGCCTGATGCAAGAACACAAATAAGTGCACATGAGCATGAGCTAAATAATCGTAAGCAAGTTCTGCTATTAGTTCATGTATTTGTTAATCAAAAGAATACATCTCTGTATTGATCTCTGGAATGATTAATAAACATTTTGGGTCCATCCAGACAAAAAGAAAATGGAACTCAAGTGTAGATTTGGGGAAGGAGTAAAACCAACTTTGCCTTTTTGCCACAGTATACTTGGCCTGAACTGATTAAGCTGTTATTATGTTGGATCATATCAAGCATGGGAGAGAAAAGCTCTGTCACGACGGCTTCTTACATTATTAAAGCAGCTGCTGATGAGAAGAGGAGTCCTATTGAAGCTTTTCTTTACTCAGTGGTTCGAATAAAAGCACTAGAAGTGTTTTGCTCGATTATCTTCTAATCTGTATGGCCAACTGCAGCCTTTTGCTGACTTTTGCAGATTTAACCAGCAAATTTGAAAAAAAAAAAAAAAAAAAAAAGTAAATGCTTCCTTTGGGGGATGGGGTGGGCTGTAGCATCAGATCACTCTTATACAGAATATTGAACACTTTCATGCTGTTCGTCCATGCCTAGGTGGAATCGTTTATATTAAAGAGGATCTGATACAGAGGGCCCTAAAAGCTGTCAACACTTTACTGTGACATAAAAAAGAAAGAAAGAAAAAGTTCTGTTTCAGTGGGTAAGGAATTTTCATATTAATACATTTTTTAGAAAAACTGATTTGTTTAAGAATTTGATTAGCGTTCTGCAGCACCGGGAACAAAAATAGAGTTTATTCTCTTCCGAGCTGATTAAATCATTTCAGGACAAAAACACACATTCTTGCCAAACTTAAGAGCTACAAGACAAAATCAAAGATAAGCCCAAAGGAGCTCGGTCCATGAACACTTACGTCCATACAAGCCAGGCAAGAGAGCAGGCTTGACCCGCTTAAGTCCAAACCGAGAAAAAACATCAATTGAACCATAAACCTTCATGAGAACCTGCACCTTTCCTCCAACAGTTCTCCTCCACACACAGACGGCCTTGCCTTAGTACATATTCAATTCATAGAACCACTTGTTGTGCACTGAAAAAGCTATTCAGCCCACAGTGATAGGTGAGCCCACTGCTAGTTGCTACCCAGCAAGCCCCCCCCATCCACCCCCCCACCCCAAGGCCAAGGACATTAACACAAGTGTCCTGGTCGCAGCAGCTGGAATGTGAACCTTGGACTTTTCACTCGTGGCCTGGCAATTTAAATATCGTATTAAATCAAAATTCCACTTCAAAAATGAGTT